AAACATTTCACCACAGAAATGTGTCAACGTGATCTGCATGCAGTTAACAAATAAGTTGTATTTATCGGCAAAACCTTGTTGAAATTGAAAGCAATTTTCTATTGGATTAAAAGAGATGCATTCACAAGCCTGCTTCTTTACATCACCAGACGTTTTGTTGCCTCATTCTGAATGGCAGAATATGGTGCTGCGCAAACTTTGTGGTGTAAATTGGAGGTCTTGCAAGTTACTAAGTAAATTTCGCTTGTATTGCGGTTTGAAATGCACTCTTCAATGCAGATTCCTTCTAACCCCAAAATATGAAAATAACATTGAAATTCCTCTTTAAAAGCCTCTCACACATGACCACCATACTTTTATTCCTTATCAGTTCAGGGACTTCATCAGACCCATTTATGTAGGAACCACTCCAAAAGGAGGATCCGTCCAGCCCACAAGTGCACAATGCTCCTTGAGATTTCAAATGGAAACCCACATTATTGAGGGACAGTACAAACCTCATAGATATCCTAATACCATCTGTACTCTCCATAAACATGACATTTAGTAATTACCAATAAAGCAAATAACCACATAAAATAACCACACACAAATTGCCATATCTTGACCAAAACCGTTTCTATCAACATCAACCTTAAACAAATCCTTCCCTTCTGACTCCATGCACTGCTGAGGTCTAATCTTCTCAGTCACGACAGAGTCTGAATCTGTTTCAAGAATTAATTCTCTCTGCCCGCCTGCAAACCTACTGCCATTATTCGGCAGGTCTACAGCCATTGCAGATGAGACTTACCTTACCCTAGAAGCCGGATTTATTTCCAGCTTACTAATCCAGCTTTGACTTTCACCACCCACCATCTACTCTTCCTCTGATCTTGACAGATTCTTGTCCGGACTCCTCATCACTTAAAACTTTTCACTGTAGTTTACTTGGTTGACAAGAGACAAGGGTCCATTCAGTGTACACATGCAAATCCTGTCCACAAAGGTTTCAAATGTTCTTCCATCTGGGCTACAATGAAATTCATGCCCAACTTCTGTACACATTTTTGCGTCCTGCCATCCTCAATTCCCTAGTTCTCCACATCACCCACACAATTTTATTTGTCCCTGAAAGAGCATAATTTGAAAGGGAAGATATTTCACCCCCACCCCTATAACGTAACAGTATGCAATTTCACCAACACTTGCCATGATGCAGTCCACAACCCTTCTTTATCAACCACTGTTTAACAACAGCAATCTTTTGCATAAAGCAACACCTTTTCAGCCAAATAATTACATTTTCCTGAGCCACTGTCTTGTTATAAAGAAGCCAAGAGACACAAAACATACCTACCACCTCATTCCACCTCTTGTGGTTCTTTAAAAGCCTTCAAGGATTACTCCATCAAGGCATCGGATTTAAAACTAATACCCCATTCTTCCTGTTCAGCCACAGATTCATCCTCACCTGCGACACATTAGTCTTAATTACAAACCACACCCAATTTTGCTTTTCCAAATGTCCACACCAGTTGCCAGCATAATTAAGAGATCAAAAAGAAATTACAAAGAAGCTCTCTGTTAAACTAGGTTTGCCAGACCACCAACCTTTGCCCTTAACACGTTCACTAACGCCAGCTGCCAGAACTGGGCTGCACTATGCAAAAGTAAAACAAAACTTTTGCAAGCCAATACTGTACGAAAAACTCATATGTAAGTTAAATATGTGCAGTGCGGTAAAATGGTGCCCATGTGGCCTCACAATAATCTCATGCACACTGTGACTGATTCACCCAGCTGTTAATCAGGGTGTTCTTGTTATTGGAATCAATCACCCAATTATTGACTGGGTTAAAATACTCTGCACTTTAAAACCAGGACTTCTTTTTGAGTAAGAATATCTAACGTCCCCAGTCCAACAGGTTTTCCTTTAGGTTTGGATAATGTTCTTAAGGGATTTATAAATGTATGTTCATAAACTCCTGTATAACGGAACACATTTATTCATTAGAATCCCCTAATGATTTAAGATGATTTATTTTACAATATCACACTCTGTAAACATTTCAATTCAGCTGTCAAACAGACTTGATCAAAGGATTAAAGTTCATCAGAGAACGTGACCTTTAGTTGAGAATTAATTTAAAGCAAACAGAAAAAAGCAATACCTAGTCCATACACTACAGTTATGTGCAGACTGAGTTTCGTAATCTGATACTGCAATTTGGTTTATATATATTTTACTAAAAGTCTATATAATTACATTGGTTGTGTTGACACTAGAGGTCACAAGGTCGGTTTTCTGTTTGCTTTGGTTATCAGGTCTGTTTTTGAGTTTCTGAACACGTCCAGTAACTGGACTAGCTATAACAGATTAGGGGTTGGGTCATTATAATAGGATCTTTATAATACAGTACAAGGGCCTAAGAAAACAGACACTCAAAGTCAGCCAAACGTTAAAAACCAGGGCTGTTTTATTTACTGTACAGGTAAAAATAAAACAAAGCAAAACTACCACAAAACAAAAACCTAGTACCTCTTTTTTTTTTTATTCTGCCCCAACAACATTCATACTTAGGGACTCCCCATTAACAACTCCCTCACTATTAATAGTGCCAGACAAGTAAGCTGATTCCCAGTTTCCAAACCACCAGAGTCTCTCACCGAGACCACGGCTCCAAAGCTTCTTTTAAAATTCACATGTTCCCAATCTCTCAATCACCTCCTCCAAACTTCATCCCTGGGTAGGTCTGCACCACAAAAACCCAGCCCTCTATTCCCTGAATAGCAGATAAACCAACAATAGAAACATCTGCTTCCGGAGTTTTAAATTATCACCTGACCAATTGCCTTCTGACGGTCAGGTGATTGAAGGTAGCTGCACATTCCCAACAGCATCCTGGGGAATGTAGTCCAGCCAACGGCTTCCCTCTTGTCTGAACTTACTGCCCTCTTACACAGAGACAGTATTTTTATAGTCAATAGGTAATGGAACTGCTTTTTAACATTGAACAGCCTGAAGTAAAAAATATCTCTTTTGGAATGTCCTCTTTTCCAGATTTGAATTTATTTATTACATGTAATTGAACTTTGTTTTCAGAATGTCACGGTGTCACTCGTTCAATTCTTGGAGTGCTATCTATGAGGAGTTTATATGTTCTTTCTGTGTTCATGTGGGTTTCATGGGGGAAGCCAATTAACCTACCAGTATGGACTGTGGGAGGAAACTGGAGCCCCCAGATGAAATGTCTCCCAAACGCAAAAAATGTCTGACCAGCCAGACCACCTTCCATTGTCTTCTCTCGCCAGAACAATCCACGAATCTTCCAAGCAAACATGGGGAGAATGTACAAACTCAGGACACAGAAAGTATTACAGGTATTGAACTCTCGGCCCCGGTGCTGTGAGGCAGTAAAACCACTGTGCCAAAGTGCCACCCAGTATCAAATACATCTTAATACAAGTGTCAGAATTCTAACTAGTTTCAAGTATCATAAACACATCACTCCACAGCTGGCACAGCTGGAGTCAAAACTTCTCCCTTCTGATTGCTGACTGCTCAAGTTCCTCTTCAGCAGCTGATACTCTCATCCTGTCCTGCTTGTAATTTTTCAGTACTCGGGGTGGAGTAGCCAGGTACAAAGTCGTTCTGGATCATAGAAGCCTGCCTTCACTGTGTGGCTATGAGCCAGTTCCAGTCAGACAAACCTCCCTCACTGTCTGGCTTTGGGCCAGTGTACAGTTAGCCAGACCTCCCTCAGGCTCAAAGTCAAAAGGAAATTACTGAATACAATTAACTGACTTTTATGGAAATGAATGAATATGAAATATGTTTTTGCCAGAGGGAAGCTCTTAGTCTGTCAATCATAACACGTCAAGAACACTATTCATTTTCCAAGGAAAGAAATTATATTGCATGATACGTTATTGCCTGGTTTGTAAAAATCACATCTAGAGCATAACTCAGAGGTGATCTCTAGCACTGAAACCAAACCCTCTATGTAGTCTCTGGCAAGAAAGGATTACCCACAAAACTGTGCAGGACATGAGCTGGATTAGTGCTAATGAGCTTGATATTCTTAGAAACTATTATTTTGAAAGGAGGCTCTTCCCACAAAACAAAACCATAATAAGCAGATCCACCCAGCACCTACAGTATTATTCCATGTTTTCCTGTGGACTGGACTCTGATACTGGTCCCATCAGTATCTAGCTACAGACATGTTTAGAGAATCTACTTCTTTCTCAACATGCTGTTATATACTGTACAGTGAATACACTGTCGGTTAGATGTTTGCACGATGCAAAACAGGACTTGTACTTCACCATGTTTATCCAACCAACAGTTTCAGCTACTTCCCTTCCCTGTCTGAAAAAAGCTGAAAACTCAAGGCCTAAGACCCTCATTGCTGATGAAGATTGCTTCCAAGCTTAAAATGCAAATCTAAATCTGGAGATGATTCCAGACCAGGAGGAAGACAGGTCTGTTTTGTCATTCATCTTGCCACTGAAGAGTGGCTTGGCAGAGTCTTCAATTACATTTTGCTTCCTCCAGTGTAAGTGTCAAATAAATCTGGAGTCTTTCATTTCTTGCAGGAGTGCTGTGTGACCCTCCTGTCGCTGTAGAGTGCTGTTTGTGGAATATTATGGTACATTTTTCTCCAAAAGTACTGGTCCCAA